ACTGACCCCATGGTCAACACTGACCCGACTTCACCAGGCCATGACCCCTTCAAGTCAACATCTTGACCTCCTTAGCACGGGCTTTGACCCCACTAGTCCATGATGACCCCTAAGGGCACACACTGACCCCACTAAGGTCAGGCACTGACCACACTAGTCCACGCTAACCCCACAAGTTCAGACTGACCCCACAAGTTCAGACTGACCCCACTAGTCCAGACTGACCCCACTAGTCCAGACTAACCCCACAAGTTTAGACTGACCCCACTAGTCCATGCTGACCCCACAAGTTCAGACTGACCCCACAAGTTCAGACTGACCCCACTAGTCCAGACTGACCCCACTAGTCCAGACTAACCCCACAAGTTCAGACTGACCCCACTAGTCCAGACTGACCCCACTAGTCCAGACTAACCCCACAAGTTCAGACTGACCCCACAAGTTCAGACTGACCCCACTAGTCCATGCTGACCCCACAAGTTCAGACTGACCCCACAAGTTCAGACTGACCCCACTAGTCCAGACTAACCCCACAAGTTCAGACTGACCCCACAAGTTTAGACTGACCCCACAAGTTCAGACTGACCCACTAGTCCAGACTGACCCCACTAGTCCAGACTAACCCCACAAGTTCAGACTGACCCCACAAGTTTAGACTGACCCCACAAGTCCAGACTGACCCCACTAGTCCAGACTGACCCCACTAGTCCAGACTGACCCCACTAGTCCAGACTGACCCCTTAATCCAGGCTATGACTTCTTAGTGCCAGGTTTTGACCCCACAAATCAAGAATCTGACCCCACGCCCAGGCTATGACCTCCACTAATTCAGGTTATGACCCCATTACGCGACCTAGGGTCTGACCCTAAAATTCAGAATACAAAAATATCTCATGTTATATCATATGCACAGTTCTTCAACATGTGTTAGGTAACCAGACCTGTACTGGGTAGGGTAGTTTTTATTCTCTCTCTATAGTGTCAGCTACCAAGGTTAAAAAAGGACATCCCCCCTACCCCAGCCCAACATATTAAAAAAAAAACAATACACATGTTCGTTACCATGTTATATAAGGATAATTAGGGGAAAAAACCATTGAGCAACAAACTGAAAGAACGTGAACTACATTTTGTAGGATAGAAATAGCACAACTGATGTGTTTTAAGTGCACTAAAGTAACTGGGTCAACACCCCGTATATGATTGAAACAGTTAGATCAATATGCCATGTATGATTGGAAAAGTTGGATCAATATGCCAAGTATGATTGGAAAAGTTGGATCAATATGCCAAGTATGATTGGAAAAGTTGGATCCATATGCCATGTATAATTGGAAAAGTTGGATCAATATGCCATGTATGATTGAAACAGCTGGATCAACATCCCGAGTATGATTGAAACAGCTGGATCAATATCCCACGCATGATTGAAACAGTTGGATCAATATGCCATGTATGATTGAAACAGTTGGATTAGTTTGCCATGTATAATTGAAACAACTGGATTAACCTGGCTAGCGTAAGATTGAAGTAGCCGAACCAACGTCCTATGTATGATTGAAACAGCTGGATCAATGTTATGTATGATTGAAACAGTTGTATTGACACAAGTGTATGACTGAAGTAGATGAATCAACGTCCCATGTATAATTGAAGCAGCTGGATTACTGTCTGGCTTAAATATAGCGGTTTAACGCGATTAGGCTTTAAGCGAAAACAGCATGAGATCATAATATTTGTTATTAAAATGTCAAGGCCAACGAAATTATACAATTTCGAATGCTCTCGATTGCACAACTGATGTGGCATTAGCAATTTTAAGTAGCGTGTCACTGTGACATGTGCATTGAATCCAGGAAGCAAAGCTCGCACCATTTGTTACTTTCAGTGGTAACTCAAGTTTAAAATAGATAGGACAGATGAGGCTCGTTATCTGGGGACAGCCACTCTTCTAAGAGAGACAACTCCAAAATCAAACAACTGCTGCCTTCTAGTTAAATTGTACTTGGTTGGAAAAAGGCTATGGAAGCAAATCCAAAAAGAAAAGCAGGCTGAAATCGGAGTCAACGGCCTCAATGGCGCATAACCAGATGACACGTATACTTAATTGTGTTGGAGGGGGATCCCTTCCAACACTAAAATTAAGGACGAAGAAGAAGAAAAGAAGAAGATCGAAATAGCAAGGTTAAAGAAGACAAAGTTAGCCACAATAATTGAATAAAGTTAAAAATAGAACAAATTAGCCGCGCTGCAACCTTAAGTACAAACTTAACATCACTACCGTTGATTCATTCAGTGCTCATCAGTAGCGTAGCGAGGGGGGGGGGGGGGGGGCGGGGACATATGTCCCCGGGCGCCGACCTTAGGGGGGGCGCCAAATTGAAAGTTTGAGGGGGGGGGGGGTGCAAATCGATCGAAAGTTTGAGGGGGGGGGGGGTGCAAATGAAAAGTTCGAGGGGGGGGGGGTGCAAATCGAAAATTTGAGGGGGGGGATGCAAATGAAAAGTTCGAGGGGGGGGTGCAAATCGAAAATTTGCTCCCAAGGGGGCGCCAAATTGAAAGTATGTCCCCGGGCGCCGGGAAGGGTCGCTACGCCTCTGGTGCTCATTACTGCTTAAAAGAGCATCATTTCAGAACTGGAAGTAAAATGTTAGGTGGAGTTCACCCATTTCTGAGACTTAAGAAGGGATTGAGTAATCAGTTGTATGCCTTGCCGCCTTTACTTTTCTAACGTGAACCAGTGACGTCGCTAGGTCGGGTGTCACCCATTGCAGCCCCTCACGGTGTCATACCTCCACCCATATAAAGAGAGAGAGAAAGATAGATAGATAGATAGATAGATAGATAAATATTCTGTATATTTTGCAATTGGTTTCACCTGCCCCCCCCCCCCCCTTGGGTAATAGTTTTAAGGTGTGCAGACTTAATAGTAACGATGTTTATCTATAGTTGGTTGCCAATACAGCTGAATGTAGCATTGTCTTCTCTATAGTTAAAAATACTTACATGGTGTCATATCCTCCCCCCCCCCCCAATGATCGTAAAAAACTTTAATAAACCATTAATTGAACTGGTCAAAACCATTTATCTTCTATCAATTATACCATTTTTTGCCTTATGGTCACACCCCCCCCCCCCATAAATAATGTCACCTCCATAAATGGTGTCACCCGGTGTGGCCCGCAACCACCCAACAACACCTCTCACATGAACCAATTATTAATTTACATTTAAATTGATGAACAGACAGTTAAGTCACTAGTTTGGTTTATTACAAGCCTTTTCTTTCATTCAAACTTTGACATGAATGCTTTAAAATTACATGAGTCAAAGGACTATTGTATTATCGCTAATCAATAAATAAATAAAAACACTAATTAACATAACTGATTTTTTTAAATATATAAAATAAATTGGGGTTATTTTTTCATAAAATAAATCTGGAATTAAAACAAAAAAAAACAGTGCATTTTGCTTAGACTCTTAAAATACCTTCACATACTAAGGATACAAGAAGCTTCCTTTCTTTATATTTGTATCATCAGAACTATTTTTTTAGAACTATAAAAAATATTCTAAACATGTCAATATAAACATTAAATTTTTTTTAAATGTAGTAGTAAAGTATCACATTGCTCTAACAGTTGAAAATAAAATGTACATTATAAATTGATGTCATTTTTTAAATAAGTTATTATTTACTTCAATTTCTGTCTCAGTCTTTAAAAATTGAAACATGAATTTTTAAAAATACATTTTAAAAAATTTCACTGCTTGGATGAAAGACATAACATAACATGCATAGTTGCAGTCAACAAAGTGTATAAAAACAATTGTATAAGCCATTGTATAACCAATTGTGTATATGCACACTCATCATTATCTAAGTTATGCTTGCATTTGGAGTTAACTCCCCTGAAACCACAATGGTCCGCTCCCCTTCACCCCCTTTCTCCCTCATTTAACAGTTTGTAATGCAGTCTCTAGACACAAAAATTATCTTTACAATCTATCTATATATATAATTCTCTTCTGGGATCCGTTAGAAAACAAGCTGCAAGCTCGCGCCCTGCAGTCCCCTCTCTTCCTCTCTATCGCTACCACCCCCACCCCATCCCCCCCTCACATTGTCAGGTGAGCTGTAGTTCACGCTAAAATTAAATGTTTACAAAACAATCGTAGAGCAGGGTTTGGTGACGGCTATTAGGGGCAGATAATTCAGTTTGAAACTATTTTAAACTTAGAGGAGGTAACTAAGAGGAGGCTGCTTTCACGGGGGGGGGGGGGGGGGGGGGGGGGATGGGGGTTTGCATTGGTTTTTATTTTCAGTGGCAGCATTGGTACTGTCGAATTCACATATTATGAATTACTGAAAAGTAGAAAAAATAACTAAATAGCGGCGTATGATACGCCGCGGGTCGGCTCGTTCTTTATAATACTTATATATTTCTAGGTACAATAAGATATACACAAAGTGATAATAATGTATTTAGAAAATTAACTTAAGAATGAAAATCATTATAAATTATGTGAAATGATATCCGTTTCACCCGTATATTATTTTTTATTTATGTTTAATCAACAAAATAACAATTGTAAGAACGTAATTTTTGAAGACATTTAGTAAAGCTTTTTGTGACAAGAGTCATAAGCCTAACTTAAAACTAAGACAGTTATAACCACTGTCTAGGCCTAACTTTAAACTGAGACAGTTTTAAGCACTAAGCCAAACTTAAAACTGAGGCAGTTCTAAGCACTGTATAAGCCTAACTTAAAACTGAGACAGTTATAAGCTTTGTCTAAGCCTAACTTAAAACTGGGACAGTTATAAGCACTGCCTCAGCCTAAATTCAAACTGAGACAGTTATAAGCCTAACTTAGAACTGAGACAGTTATAAGCCTAACTTAAAACTGAGACAGTTATAAGTCTAACTTAAAACTGATACAGTTATAAGCCTAACTTAAAACTGATACAGTTATAAGCACTGCCTCAGCCTAACATAAAACTGAAAAAGTTATGAGCACTGAACAGGCCTAAGGGTCAGCTGAAGGGGTGGGTGAGGCTGGATGGTCAGACGACGAATCCTGCGGTACTTGTACCCTGCGGGAAGCTCCAGCACAAAGTGGCGCAGTAGCAGCGCCAACACCGCCTTGCTCTCAGTCAGGGAGAAAATGTGGCCGATGCACATGTAGGGCCCCGCGTTGAATGGCAGGAACTTGTAGGGGTCGTAGGGTTCCAGAAACCTTTCTGGGATAAAGGCTGTTGGGTTGGACCAGTTTTCTGGCAACCTAAACATGGAGAAATTTGTATAACTAAAGTTGTACGTGAAATCAACCCATGTTTCTGTGGTGGTAGGAAAAAGAGGCATTTAAGGTTGAGAAGTAATGTATATGATTGCTAACAGGAATGTAATGAGTTTGATTCATGTTGAGTCTGAAGGAAGTTTATGAGTCGACCTAGCACTGTTGCAAATCTGGCTTAATTTGGGGAAACTAAAGACAGTTAGGGACAGAGTGGCCTTGCAGTAGAGTGCTAAACTGCTAATCTGAAAGTCTAGGGTTCAAATCTGGGTTTAATCAGTAGAATGTCCCTGAGTCCATCCAGCTCTTATGGGTACCTAACTTACATTAGCGAAACAAAGGTGGCTGTATGTAGTGCTGACCACATAATCTTTTGTATGCCTAGGTCATTGAAACAGATGGACTATATTTCATCTGCTTCATGTGTCTTGGGCACAAACAGGGAAAGATCATAATAATGAGAAACAGCTTACCACATTATATCTTCAAGTTTTTAGGTAAAAGAATTGTATACACCCTACTTAAAACCTTTAAAAAACATTAAACCTTTAGCTCTTAAATGATGCTTCAATTTTTTATCCTTTAAGAAACTAAACGATGAGCAGTGTACACCCAAACAAAATGATGAACCAGTTTTATGTCTATGGTAAAATATTTTCCACTTATGACATTTACAAGGGACGATATGGACAAATGGTTGAGTATTTGGCTGCTAGCCTGATGGTCTCGAGTTCGGATCTCTGTTCAGACTTGCAACTGTAGGACGTCCGTGAGTCCATAGTGCTGATCACACTATACCTTCATATGCCGAGGTCAAGAAACATGAACTCTACTTCATCATCACCACGTCTAAAGAAGATGTTCACTTTATGACAACTTTACCTGTGTAGTGCACCTATGCTGACGCCAACTTTTGTACCAGCGGGTATTAAATAGCCACCAAGATAATCGTCTTGGAGTGCTTGTCGAAAAACCACAGAAACTGGTGGAAATAATCTAAACAAAAAATAGACAGTAAATTACTTTTTATGAATTAGATGCTTTTATAAATTTCAATAGAAAAACTAATATATATTTTACTCCCATTTTATATATTTATTTGATTTTTGATTGGATAAAGAATTCTGATGTCATTAATATTATTCAATTTTAACTGATTCATTTCATTTAAACAAGGCATAAAAATAGAATTGAAAAACCAAGCCAAGGGAGATAAAAGAAGGGGCAACAACCAAGTAAAACAAATACACTGTAAAAAATACCAGTTGTATCAAAGAACAACTTGCTTCACAAGTTTTACAAAAATGTACTTTATTAAATAAGGAAACAATTACCTTAAGGATTCTTTAATAACACAGGTTAAGTAGATTAAATTATCAACAATCTTAGTGGTCAGTGGTGTGGACTGGTCAGGCAGAAGTGACATGACTTCCTGTCTGGCTTTCTCTTGGACTTCTGGGTGCTCAGCCAGCATAAGAAGTGTCCATGTCAGGTTCATGCTTGTGGTCTACAGAAACATTCGACTCTAAATCTCACTGAATCTCATTCTTAACCCTTTCCCCGGCAACATATTTGGTACCCTGTCCCCGGCAACTGGGTGGATCACACCCAAAGACTTTCTTATAGTAAATTCTTTTCTTTGTTCATTGTGGGGTGGGTAACAATACTGACACAGTTGAGGTATTCAGGGCACAGAGGCCATGGGGAACACAAGACATGTTGTTGTCAATGGGAGAGCTGTAATATGATACTACAGGTTGATGGGATTCTCAAGCAAGAGTTAACCTGTGGGTGGACACATGGAGTGATTTATACTCTTTGCTGGAGCTCTGACTTGCAGTTACAGACTGAACTGTAGTTTAGAGTTACAATAGGTTAATGAAATGCAGGGGTAAGATTGCCTGTGGGATCACATATATAGTGATTTGTACTCTTTTTGGGAGCTCTGGAATGTAGATAGAGACATTCGAGCCTTTTAGAGTAACTTGACATTAACCTCATTAGGAGTACAAATGAGGACAAAAAGGCAAAACAACTTTGTAATGCTGCTTGAAAGTTAATACTGGGCAATTAATTGATCAAACTGGGAGTGGGGTGGGTGTTCTACAGGTTGTGACCCTGAGAGTAAGGTTTATAAATAGTCACAAACGTTATTGAGAACACAACAGAAACAAGTCTTGAACGCTTTTGTCTAAACTCAAGTGCTAATGATAAAGGAATATATTTGCCAGTTTTAGTATAGCAGGTGAAAATGACCAACAAGTTTTGAGCCTGAACTATTAGTATCAGAGTTAGAAGATGAAGAATGGCAGCCATCAGTATCAAGCAGCTCTGATGACGAGGTCTACCCAATATACTGCATTTCAACTATCAATAATGTGTCAACAGTTGGCACTCATAATAAAATGAAACGGCTGGTGCAAAATGAAGAAAAAGAAATATTTTCAGGAAAGACTAAGTAACAGTACACTAGACCACTGCCTGAAGTGCTAATCCCAGGAAATTTATAAACAGCCTGACCCTAAATATTTCTTCTGTGCATGAATACAAAAAATAATACAACCAATATTTGACTGCATTAGCAGGGATGGAGAGAAAGCAAGAGGAGACACTGGCACTCTGCAGAATAACAATTCAGTTGTATGTCAATTCAGTTCTGCTTATGGAAGTTTTTGAAGGAAGAATTTTCTATGAAGAGATTCAGCAACCTTCTGGGTCATATTCACTTCCATAACACTAACAGTCCATCAGGCTCATGGTATATTTAAATTTGCTTCCATTATGGTAGATATTCCATACAAATTTAGCAGGGTGTTATGTTTGTGGAGAGATCATTACTAATTGGGCAACTGATTGATTTTAGAGGTGGGAGTAGATTTATCCAATACATACCAAGCAATTCCGATAAGTATGGAATTAAAATATTTTGGGCATGTGACTCATGTAACACCACTAAAAGGGTGCCCATATTTTGTCAAAGAAAACTTAAGTTCTCTCTGCAAGCAAAAAGAAATGTCCAGCTATTTTAATTTTATCTAACAACTGTGCTCTCTGAGGTATAAATTATTAAAACATGTTAATGTTCTATTATTTTATTACTAAAGTTGATTACTTCAATCCTGTTTGATATTTTTGTTACTCAAATACCTTCAGATTGTTAATTTATAGTTTGAAAATGTAATACAATGACTTAACCCACAATGAGTAAAAACAAATATTTAGTAACCAGTTTATAAGTTATAAATATTTTTTCCATTCAAAATTGTGTACGGGTGTGTAGCACCCAGTTGCCAGGGACCGTATACAAAAATTTCAAACCCTCATAAAAAATTTTTTTACGAATATTTTAAAAAATTACAACCTCCAATGTGTTCACCCCAACCACCTTATAGATGGGAATAAGGCCCAGAAAAATTTATAAAACGAGGCTCGAGATATGAGCAAAAATATAGCGACTTCGGGTGGATTACACCCAGTCGCCGGGGAAAGGGTTAATCACTCCAAGAAAAATAATTATACAGATACGCTTACAGTAAATGCAAGAAATAAAAGACTAGAAATTAAGTCTACATAAATTAACGATAGCCTCCAATCAAAATAACACAACTGATAGCCTCTAACCTAAAATTAAAGCCTGAATAAAGTATTAGTAAATAGCTTTTTCAATGTTTTTAAAAACAATTCATAATTCTGCTATTTTTCACCAATATAAAACTACATTGTAATAAATGTTTACCTCATAACTAATTCTTGTATTTAATAGATAGCCTAGATGTATTCAAAAGAGTAACATGCATTTGTAAAGGTGAAATTGCAGGCAACTGTCAAAAACAATACCTTCTAAACCCAGTAACAAAAATTAAATAACCTCTAACCCACATACTTGACCCCACAACCATAAAGCTGTATAAATGTAACATATTGAAGATATGACAAACAGTTTTCAATGTTATTTATTTATTTAAAGCAAATTATTTAAAATAAAATATTTTTTAAATACAGCTTTTGGCATGGCTTATGAAATATATTTTTCTTAAAATTGAGAAAAAGCAATAGTTGTCTTGTCTCCCCTGTCCTAGCCTAGCAACTCAAATTGTCAACTCAAGTTGTGTCCCCTATCCATGACTAGACTCACCTCAAACCCTGCAAACAAAAAGCCACCAACTTGAGAGAACAAACTCCGGTCACTCAAGCCACTTCCCTTATCATCCCTGATCTGGATTAGCCGAGAGAGCAAGTCTCTTGAGGTATCACCTGAAATTCAAAACAGAAGGAATACGCTGATTACAAGATATATACATTTCAATCAGTAGAGGAGATGTTTCTTGCAATATTTAAAAAAAAACTTACACATTATGTGGTAATTAAAAAAATATATTTTGTAATTTACTGTCAATAACTAAGTAGTGTTTCTTTCAGGAGAATGTCCACTACACTCCACTCCCTCCCCCTCAAGATAATTGTTTGATAAAATCCCTTAAGAAAGGGAGTTATCTCTTTTTGTGACAATAACTTATAAAGAGTGTTAAATGGACTCATGGTCATGCTCATGATACTAGCCACAAACACCAATACAAAACTATTCAGCTAGTAAATTATTTACTAAATATTTATTAAGTTAATAATCTGTCAACCACTTAATGGGCTGATGACAGTAATATTTAATTTCTTCCCAATTAAATTGTAGGCTTACTTGTAAAAAAACATGTTCATTAAAAAAAAAAACAATTTTTTATTTTTGGAGTAGTCTCTCCTAGATGAATGGCTGTCCCCAGCTATCGAGTCCCATCTAAAAGGGGGTTCGAATTCGGGACTTTTCAGTTCAGCAACCATGGGCTTAACCTGACCTCAATTACCTTCTTTTGACCTAATCAGCTGTTACACTAAGCCACATACCATTTTCAATCTTCTCTCTCTTCTGGGCTATGACATCTTTTATTGTGGAGTAAAAAAACTTCACGTCCGCCCAGGCTTGTCTGTTTGCTTTGGTTGGCAGCCATTGTAAGGGCAATAAACGTGACAATCTGTAAAGTGATGGATCAGCGATAATTCAAGCTTTTTCAATTTGCTTAGAGAAATTTCATAGAAATAATGTTTAAGATTATATAATAAGAATAACAGTGCTAACATATCCCAAAACAAACATCATGTAAAGAAATGAAAGTAGAAAATGGGATGCATTATACAGTTTGGTTATCTATTTATAATAATAAGTTATAATTGATATAGTAATAATTAGACAACCACCGACATATAGGGATATAATCACTTCAATTCAACATACAGGGATGTAATCACTTCTTCAACATACAGGGAGACAATCGCTTTGATTCAGCATACAGGGAGACAATCACTTTGATTCAACATACAGGGAGACAATCACTTTGGTTTAACATACAGGGAGACAATCACTTTGGTTCAACATACAGGGAGACAATCACTTTAATTCAGCTTACAGGGTGACAATCACTTTGGTTCAACATACAGGGAGACAATCACTTTAATTCAGCTTACAGGGTGACAATCACTTTGGTTCAACATACAGGGAGACAATCACTTTAATTCAGCTTACAGGGTGACAATCACTTTGATTTAACATACAGGGAGACAATCGCTAGTGCAAAAAGCACACAGAGAAACTCTTAACATTTAAAATGAGACCAACCTGATCTCAAAACCTTGCAACAAGCGCTGAAAGCTCTGGGCCCCACAATGATCAGGTTCATCCACTGAGTTGATCTCATAATCAAATCCACACAGGCACATCGCCTCTAGAGTCTAGGACAAGTGGAATCATTTTATCTAACAGGGTTTTAAACAAGTATAACAACAATAAAATGAAATTTACTCAACCATTCCATTGTGCATGCAAAGACCTCTACCAAAAAATATAAAATGTAAAATTTATAAAAGTTTCATTTTAAAAATAGTACATTGCTGACTACCAGTCACTCTGTTGCCTTAAATTGATCTCTATTGGTAATATGCCTTGACAGCAATTTATCATTTGTTTGGTGGTGTTTTTTCCCATTTCTTTTCAGCAACTTTCCTGCTTTTTCTACATGTGTAAATATTTATGTCGAAAAATAATTAAGCTCAACCTAACATCAACCAAAGAACCAACTTGTACCAGAGCTATAAAACCTTACAAACACAATCTCACAAGTCTGCTCATGTAAGTCTGTGCTGCAACAATAACCGAGTTGTCTCCCTTGTTTCTCATGGCAGTTTCCCAAAGGGCAACAACTTTCCTTGTTGTTTTTTCAAACACAGGGATGAAATCTAAAAATAAACACAGGGATTCTATATTTATAACAAACCAGAAAATGAAATCAATACACAGGTATTAAATCTATTAGCACAAATATTAAATCTATATAATATGTAAATGTATTCATTAATGATCATTTTCAAATATTTCAATGCAGATATTCTAAGTTCTTTGACAGCAAATCCTTTACTGCCAATTAGAAAGTTAATATGTAAATATTGTGAAAATGATTTAAAAAATCATCAGCTTATGTTAGACCTATCTAAGTCTAACTAATTCCACTCATTTTGTTAATAAGCAAGACTCACCATTGACAGTATGGCTATTAAAGGCAGGATTTAAATGTTTTCTCAATACATGGTGCTCCTCTCCATTTAGAAGAAGTAAAAACCCGGGAACAATATTTGCCAGCAGACTGTTTGTGGAACATTCATAAATCAAATTTGTTACTATTTGACAGGTTGGATTTTAAGTTAAGATTATTTTGGTGTTCCTGTAGTGACCACTCGTACAACTACCACAGAATTCACCAGTTCCCTCCCTATATGAAGACAATGTTTGCCACACCACTTTACACAGCTAACATCCTAGCTTTGAGAATGTAAATTCAAATATAAAAGTACCCAAGGGATAAATCAGCATAAACAAATTTCTACAATGTTATCTATTAAAATTAAAAGCTTTAATTCTATAATTGTAAAATACCTTTTTACAATTCAGCTGTATTAGTGACTTCAGCATATTAAGGGATAGTGTTGTCAGCACTATGCCCAGCCACCTTTACTTTCCCAATTGTGAGTCAGGTACCTATCAGAGCAGGGAGGACTTTGAACTCAAGACTTTCAGGTAGGCTGTCATATGAAAAATGACTCCCTAAAGGTAGTAAGCATCTGATGGATTTGAACCAGAGTCATTTGGTATTATAGTCACGCAGTATTCCATTTGACTACTCAATATCACTCTCTTATTACATAAACTATAAATATTTCTGACCTTTTAAAATAAATGTATTAAAAAGTAATTTTTATTGTAATTACTTTCATTGTGAACATACCTGGAGGAAGCATGGATGTAATTTTTGCTGTTTGTAACCATGATATATCTCGCCATCTCCGGGTCACCTACTAGTACCCTTCCTTCTCCACCTAAAAAGTAGAACCGGATAATTCTGGATTTGTACTCTACCATCCAACTGTAAATTTATTTAAAAAATTATTTAGGCATTTTTATTTTATTTTAATATTACATTGTATTTTAATTATAAAAAATGTAAATATCACACAGTTAAATTAAAGTGGTCAGGTTTTTAAGCTAGTTCAACGACTAAGTTAAGTAGGCTTAGGTCATATATTAAAAGATATTGTTGATGACGCCTACATACTTAATCGTGTTGTTCATGGCCTCTTCGTGTAAGGCTTCTAGCATGTTGCCAATAAACGGTTTATATGGTCTTCCGGGAATCTAAAATTAAATTCAATAAAAAAAGTGCTGTCATAACTTATCAAAGAAGTGATTAAGGTATATATTATAGGCCTATATCCGATATCCGCCCTATTTTTAAATTATTATAAGGGTAGAATTTACATTTTGCCATATTCGTCCATCAACATTAATTTTGTTTAAAATTATTTCCCCTGGGGTTTGACCCCATTCCCGTCAACAGACACACACAGGAAAAAGGCAAAACAATGTGTACCGAATTGTCACCAAATGAATTTACCTTTCTGATGGGGGAGAGAAATGGTTTGATGAATATTTTGTAGATGTACCAGGTAGCAGCAGCAGCAGCTAGATATGCCAGAGGGGATTCTCTGATGCGATTCATGTTTTGGTTACTGTTTTTAACACATTAACCTGTGAAGGAAAAGTATATTTCTACAGTCTATCCACTATAGTTAAAAAAATTATAGGCAATAGCCATAGGCCTAAGTTAAATTAGTTAATATATATTTATAGTTTATAGAATATATAGATGGATCTAGTATAGTAAGTATAGGTCTACACTTAACTACACTATTACTACTTAAGATTATTAAATTTATTAGGCTTTATGGGCCATAATGGCTAACATTAATAATATGAAATTAAGGTAATCTATTGTTTTAAGTATGTAAAATTGGCCGAGACTAGTAATGTGAAAAAAAGGTGACTCATTAAATTTTAGTAATTATTTCACATTTTTAAGAGGATTTGTTTTGAAAGTTACAAAAATGTTTCAAAGTTTCATTAACAAATGATTAATGTACCAATTGTATTAAAACGTGTCAGTAAAAATAATGACTAGCGATGTTTTTATCAGATGCAGCCAAGCTCATTTACTTTTAGCAGCCATCTTGTTTAAGTTTTTTTTTTTTGGTAAAATTATAGTTCGAGATTCAGGGGAAACCACACTTACTTACAGATGGACGATGTTTATAACAGCAAATCTTGCAAGCAAACACTGTATTTTTAAGTTAATTTCTGGCCTATATAGTAGTATATAGTATAGTATATAGTATAGGTGATATGTTATTTACTAATATTTAGCCACTGATTTTAGTTTATTAGGCCTATTCAGTTATCTCTAATATATTTGACACAAATATAATAATATATTTAATATATCCCAATATACTAAATAGGCCTAATACACTTCTATTAAAGCATTAACAATGACCAATGAAGCAAATTTTCCGCACATTTCTAGATCTAGTAGTATTCTAGTCTCGGCCGATTATACACTTATTTTAAAGCTAATGTAATTACTAACTAGATCTAATTAATAATTATCTAATTACTAAAACGATAGTAATACTATAGGTATATACTAATAGGCCTAGAGCTATATACTATATAAAAAGTAGTGTCGATAGTTTACCAAAATTTGTAATTAAATAATAAATGATATTAAATAGGCCTAAAACAAATAATAAAATATTTTAATATAGATCTTTTATATAGTATAGATCTAGTATATAAATAATATATATTAGTTAGTGTGCCCCCAATCATCTTATTCTAAATTCTAATGAAGAATGGGTTATTTAATAGGCCCCCTAATTTAGCCCTATTAATTTAATAATTTAATATTATTATTATTAAATTAAGAATGAAGAACAGTAAATTACTAAATATATAGATCTAGTAAATAGTCTCGTTTGTGGTCAAGATTATTATTTCATCTACTAGATCTAAATTATGTCGTATTTATAATCAAGAATTTAGAGCTAGCTTGGGCATAATACTAGCTCGGGTGCTTTCTTCAAAAACATTACCTTTGAACCCAAATAAACTTGTAAACAGGAAACACAAATGCGAAATTGAATGCGAAACTGTGTTAGCTGTTAGACTAGTTCAAAAACTAATATTTAGATCTATATTGTTTTGATTTTTGCTTAATTTTAGTAAAAGTTTTTTTTCTCTGCATTTTTCCTGATATATTATACCAATACAGCTTAAAATTCAAATGGAATTTATTTAATGTTAGTTTTTTAATAAAGTTATAATGAATATTAGGTCTATACATTTATTTTGAAGCGTTTGATTTCAGTCTTAAGAGATTGTAATTTTTAAGTTTTTCTGTTTACATTTTTAGGGTCTAGCCCGTAGTGTCGAAACGAAAGTAGAAAAATTTTAGTATTGTCCGTACTGTCGAAATTATTTTTTGCTATTTAAAATATTAGATATTGATTATAGTTATAAACGTTTTTGATTTCTTCAAAATATATCACAAATACAATATGTAATTTTGTGTATTAAAAAAAAAATAATCGCAACGTAAATCGGTGTTACAAAATAATCGTACGTGTTAATACTCGATTATTATAAGGGAAAAAAATGTCTAAAACAAGAACCAAAACAAAAAATTACTAAAACAAATAAAATTTTATATTCCTTCGTTTTTGAATTTACAAAAACTGAAATCGTCATTTAAAAACTCAGTTAATGGCATTTTTACAAGCTTTTATTTAACTTGATTGCTCGTGCTATTTCTCTCATGTCTGAGTCAGAGTTTCTTTCAGGCATCTCTTCTGGGGGGGGGGGGGGGATTTAATGGATTTTATATAAAAAAACATTCTTTTAACAGTGTCCGCTTCCCCCCCCCCCCCCCCCCCCAGGTGAAAAAAAGTCTGGAAGAAACACTGGCCTGGGTGGAAACTTTGCTAACAAAAAACAAAAGTATACCCGAACCGATGGGGTTAAACTTGAATGTCACTTAGGTTAGATCTGATAATGCAATGTGCCACGAACTTTGACATAATTAGAGGTGTTTCGTTCCTTTTTAAAATTAATTAAATATTTCTATGGCCTATAGTGCACACTTACTTATAATTTAAGGCCTATATATAATAAATATAAGCCTTTTTTTAAAAAAGAAAAACGTAAATAGTAACAAAATATATGCGTGCACTATAAAGATGTATGGGACGGAGTGGTCTAGCGGTAGAGTTCTGAGGTGGATTGTAATGACTGACGAGAAGCCGCGTTGGTTGTTAACAGCCTTTATTATGTACAGACGCCATGATGCAAAGAGAGAAAGACGGAAGTGGCGAGAGACTTATATACATAACAACATGTAAGGGACATCACTCAAGATAACAATATAAATATAATACTAATACAGAAGAGTGAGTTCCCTTGACCTCACAATTATTTCAATCTATTACATCCCTTTACCCTTAGAACACAATAACACATCTCTCAATAGAACAATTGATAGTATCCTAAAATCACCAATTATATTGTAACATGAACACTATGGTAGATTACATCCTTACAAACAATGCACAATATGCCACAACATAATCAAGATACAAAACAATAATGTCAAAGTCCTTTTGACCTTTAAAATCATAGGTCTAACTTATTTGGGACTTTGTCCTGTTTGACCTTCTCAGTGGCTTTTGATTTGGTGACTCAATATTCTGACCATCTGGATTCTCTATCTCAGGAGGTCTAGGATTTAAATCATTAACTCCAGAATTTACATTTTCTGACTCCAGACAACTTGGTTCACTCATATCAACAGAACTTGGTTGTGGAACAAACTGAGTTGGTGTGAACTGTTCAGATTTGGTGGGATTGACAGATTCACACTTATTATCTGCACAAGTTATTTTTAACTTTATAAGGCACAGGTCCTGTACATTGAACAATTTGACCTGGTATCCATTTTTCCTTTCTCCCATAATTTCTTAGATACACATTCTTATTTACACCAAATTCTCTTTCAATGCATGAGTTGTCATGATTTAATGGAACTATTTTTGAATTGGCATCTGAAAGTATTAAATGGCAAAAAATCTTTTTTTTTTCTTTTGATGTTACCCTTTTAGTTTCTGTAAGTGCTAATGATGTTAGCAAAGTTGTTTGATGATCACATTCCTTCTTACTAATGTATTCTCTTTAAAACATTTGAAATTGCCATATCACCATAATCCTTTATTAAGTTATAAATACTTTGTTTAGGCAACTCTGACTGATAATGGACTGCATCTTCTCCATCTTTTATATTATCTTCACAAAGGGTTTTAATTTCTTATTTTATATGGCCTTAAGTCATCATTCACAGACTCTTCAGGCCAACCATTCATACAGTGCTCATATACTTTTATTAAGCACTCATCTTTTTGTGTTTCTCTCTTAATATCATTCACATTTATATTGGAGTTATCCATGATAGTGAAGAGAACAAATACATCTTCTGGTACATAGCTCAGGCTTTGGTTTTTTAAAGGTAATCTACTAAGACTATCTGCACTATTCTCAGATCCAGGTTTGTATTTCAATTCATAATTGTATGCAGTTAGTGTGATAGCCCATCTTTGAATTCTTGGTGAGGCATGCTCAGGTAGGGTTTTGTTTTCTCCAAATAAACCTAGCAATGGTTTATGATCTGTAAAGATGGTGAACTTCCTACCAAACAGAAACTTATGAAATTTCTTAACACCAAAAATGATGCCTAAGCCTTCCCTATCTAACTGAGAATAATTTTTCTCAGCCTGGTTCAAAGATCTACTGGCAAAAGCAATGGGTCTGTCACCCTTCTCATCCATGTGGGACAAGACTGCTCCTACACCATCTGGTGAAGCATCACATGTCAATACAAGTCTTTTCCCTGGGTCATAGTGAGTTAGTAAGGTGTCAGTAGACAAAGCTTCTTTTGCTGTATTAAAAGCAGCTTCTTGTTGTTTACCCCAGTGCCAAGTTGCATTTTTCTGTAGCAGCTTGTACAGTGGTGATAGTTTACCAGACAGATTCCCTATGAACTTTGCATAGTAATTTATCAAGCCCAAAAAAGCTCTTAGTTGTTGGGTATTTTCAGGTTTGGGTGCTTCTTTAATGGCTTTTGTTTTCTCAGGTTGAGGTCTGATACCTTGCTTGCTTAATATATAACCAAGAAAACTAATTTCTGTCAGCATGAATTGACATTTATCTTTGTTTATCTTTAAACCTTTTTCACCAACAATTTTCAATACTTTATCAAGTGTTTTAAGATGTTCAATGTCATTCTTACCAGTTATGTACACATTGTCAAAGTACACACAAACATTTGGAATATCCTTAAAAATACTGTCCATGACAGCTTGGAAAATTCCAGGGCTAGATGATATGCCAAAACATAGTCTTTCATATTGGTAGAGTCCTTTATGTGTGTTTATTGTCGTATAGACTTTTGAATCTGGATGCAGTTCTAGTTGAGTGTAAGCATGACTAAAGTCTAATTCAGTGAATTTGTCTCCTCCTGCCAAATTCAAAGAAATTTCCTCAATGTTAGGTATAGGGTACCTATTTAGCTCTATTTGCTTATTCAGTGTAGTTTTATAATCTCCACAAATTCTTATAGAACCATCCTTCTTTAACACTGGCACAATGGGTGTCGCCCAATCGGAATAGTCTACCTTCTTTATAATGCCATTAGATTCTAATCTACTTAGCTCATTTTCAATTTTATTCCTCATTGCATAAGGTGGAACTCTAGCTTTGCAGTATCTTGGATTTGTATCTTTAATGCTTAACTTCACTGTTCTATCATTTATGTGAGCGGGTGAATGGATTATTTATTTTGTATTAATATATTTGTTGCGAATCTGCGAGTGCATGGTGGTCCTATGGGGATCAGACACGGGGTCCCCTTCCGTCCGAAGCGGACAGTATAAATTAACCGGTCGGACGATTTTCTCCCTCTTTTTGACCCACGGCGAGATGTAGGTCGGGTCAGGTTTCTGCGTGGCGCACCGCACGCGTGGAGGTATTTGTTTTTTTATACTTTATTTTTATGTGATTTGTATGAATGCGACTGCCGATGTGTTCTCGTTTGATTTCTTTTTTCGTCTAAAACGAGATAGTGAGCATCGGCATGTCTGGTATGCACGTGGTGTGTTATTCTGTTATTTTGAATTAAAATGTATTTTTGATGTTTTCTAAACCCTTGGCGTGTGTTTCGGACCACGTGGTTTAGGCCAGTGTGTTTAGGAGTGTTTTCCTAAACTAGTATGAATG